TGCTTCTTTGGCTCCACAAACGTCACCTTGCCCTTATCCTTATCAGTCCTAGTAATAGGGGGCCGAACAGGGGGGTGCGCAACAACTGCAGGAGGAGGAGGAGGAGGAACCGTAGCACACTGATCATAAGAATGACCCAAGTGTTTACAAGAGAAGCAAAAAATTGGCCGCTTCTCATAGATAACTGTCTGCCAGAAGCCACGGTTACCAGCACGCTCAATCCAAACCCTGTCGGGCAACTTATGCCCCAAGTTCACCTCAATGCACACCCTTGGCTCACTAGGTCGTCTCAAGTCGGTGGTGGCCTCATCAATTCTCAAGGGCATTCCTATTACCCTAGATAAGGCGAAAAGGAACCCCTTCGCACGTAAATGTACTGGAAGCAGAGGGAACGATACCCATACGGGAACTATCGGAGTCTCTTGCTCAGGTGTAAAGTCACATGTCCACTTAAGGACTCTCATCGGACAACCATCAATATACCATGATGGTTTAAGAAAAAGCCTGCTGTGATCCTCCTCATGTGTAAGGTGTATAAGAATGTGTGTTGTGTCGATCAATCCCACCTCGAAACAACCATGGAACCCAAACTTAGAAAAAATCTCACGTACCTTCCTCATGGTTGGCTTGCGATGTGGAAATTTCCCCACAAGTGTATACTTGTAAGGATCAGCGAGTGTAGCCTCCTCGGACTCAGTCAAAACTATTGCCGACTCACCCATATGTATAAAGGCTTCTTTAGCAGCAAACCCAGCAGTGGAAGAGTCATCTATACCCTGTATAACCGATGCAAACGACTTTCGTGAACTCCGTTCAGCTTGAGACAGGCCAGAAACTGCAGTAGCATAGGTCTTTCGGCCCTGGTTGAGCACTGTCTGGGCCTCATGTGGAAAAAACGATGATGGAATTGGGTCCGTAACAAAATTCCCCACATTCTGGTGAAGTGTCACCGGCGCGTGACCACCACGCGCCGGCCGTTGACCGGCGGCGATTTTCCAACGGTGTCAGAAAATTATGATTTTCACAGGCAGATGCAGAATTTCATTCTGATCATCACGGTATGTTTCGTTTTCTGAAACGAGTTCAGGATTGGCCGGAATCTGCGATTTTCCGAGCGACTGGCCGAAAATTGCGATCGCCGGTGAGGGCGCGTCCGGAGTCGGAATTGGATGATTTTTTAGTCGAAGGTTCGCCTTTTCATGGGTAATCTGATGGTCAGGCGCGTGTCGCTGTTTGAGCTCTGTGGAAGGATTAATTGAAAAATCAATTCTTGGCCCCTCGGGATCCGATCTGTCAATTTTGGGCGATTCGGAAGAAATCTCTACCACCCCCAGGGTTTTCGACCCTTCTGGAATCATTGGTGATGGTCCCAGACCCTGATTCAATGCGTAGGGGGGGTGTTTCGACGACCTTGGAATTCGTGCCATGATTTTTCAAACTCAGATCTATTGAGTTGGGGGATGAATCTGATATTGGTGTTATAGGAGATGTTTGGGTGGTTGTTGGTGATGATTTTCCACCATTTAGAGTGCTACAATCCGGTGGTTTTGGTGGTGGATCAAGTTTGTTGGAGTTTTGGAGGTTTTCTCCCATTCTAGAGAGAAGGGAGAGCGTTTTGGAGGTAGAGAGAGAAAAAGAAATTGGTTTAGAGTTTAGGGTTTGGGGTTTGGGGTTTAGGGTTTGGGGTTTGGGGTTTAGGGTTTTTTTTTTTTTTAAGCAAATACCACTAGTGTGGTTTATTTTATATAATGAAAAGCGGGAAAACAAATAGAGGAGGGGGGCATGGACCTGACCTCCAGAAAATGTAAATTGTAACAAATATTTGAAGATAAAATGCAATCACAGTAAACAAGACACGAACAAAAACTAATGAAAGGGACTCAAGGGTATTCCCGAGGGTAAATCTTTGGGTGGTAGTACATAGACATTGATCGAGTCATGCGTCTGGTTTGAAACATTTCCGGATCATAGTAGTCTGCGATGTCTGGCTCGCTCGTTGGAGAGGGGTCTCGCCTGCGTGTAGGAGCCTGCATTGTTGATAAGTACTGTTCAGATGGTGGTGCACTGAATGTCGGGCGAAAAGCGGGTGCATCTGATCTCATTGTACTAGTCATAGGTGCGTCTAATCTCATGGTGTTCTTTGCTACGACATCTGAATCGTGGGAGATTGACCTGCTTGCTGTAGGGACATCGTCTTCCGCATTTTCCATATAGTTTCCAAGGCCCATGCCATCCATGTCTCTCTGTATATGTTCTTTCACCTTATTGTGTGTAGGAGCTGTGATGGAAGGACTAGGTGAAGGTGTCTGCGTAGGAGTCTTACTCACAGAAGGTCCCTCTCCAAAGAGCTTAAAAACCAAGTCCTCAATAGCAAATCTCATGGTAGATCCAACTTTCATTCCATGGTCCTTCTTAAAGTGATCAATCA